AACGGGGTGCGGGGAGGTTAACGGGATGCGGGGAGGTTAACGGGATGTGGGATGCAGGGAGGTTAACGGGATGCGGGATGTGGGATGCGGGGAGATTAACGGGATGCCAGCATCCAGCAAAGCAGCCCAGGGGAGGGCCCACAGCCAGGCATCCGCGGACAAAATCTGCTCTGGCATCCATAGCAAAATTCCCACTGACATTCCCATGGGAATGGGAGCAGGCCCTGCTCCTCTGGGCCAGCGACTTATGGCTGAAACCCAACACTTTGGCAGTTTGGGGAGCACGCTGGGCTTGGAGCCGAGCCGAACGCCTGCTGCATCCCCCTTCCCCGCTGAACACGGGGGCTCTCGCCGGCACCCACCTGCGGCGTCGCCCGCAGGTAGAGGAAGCCGGGGAGGGCGGCGCGGGGCCCCAGCTGCCGCAGGAGGAAGCCGTGCCAGTCCTGGTAAATGGCCCACTCCAGCGGCTGCAGGTGCCCGGCCTCAAAGAGGTTCTTGGCAAAGACGTACCTGGGAAGGGACGGAGAGAGGGGACAGGGCAGTCGGCACCGCCGGCACCGGGACCTCCAAGCCGTCCCTGTGCCCAGGTGGCTTCAGGGCCAGTTTTTCACCTTTTTTTGCAGCAACCGGGAACTGCGGGCATTTAATTAAGGTGGAAATCCTTCATTTCGGGCTGAGTGATGTTGGGGGACAGCAGCTTGCCACTACCGAGCCCATCCATCACCCGTGGGATTTCGAGCCACCGCCTGACACGGGTGAGGATAGGGCAGCCGCGAGAAAAATTATTTGGGGTATAACGAAGTCCCAAATTATCCAACAAGCACGTTTGTATAATTAAGCATCGCTCCGGGCTTCATTGGGCACTGCTGTGGGCTCCGCGCACCCCAGAGATCCCAGGGGACACAACCCGGGCTGCGGGGATGCTCGTTATCCCATTTAATCCATTCATCCGTCTTCTTCCCAGCTTTATTTGGGGGCGCTGGGTACCTGTCGCTGTAGACGGAGCGCTCAAAGACCCGCACGGGGTGGGGGGTGCCGGGGAGCTGGGGCGGCGGCTCCAGCATCGCCTTCAGCCGGCTGATGCAGGAGAAGGTCTGGAAGGTGTAGGACCA